CTAAATTTTAAAAAAAAGAACAAGCAAAGGTATATATAGTATCAATTGTTTCAGGTTTCACAATTTCTTTACATTTTTTCAGATGCTTAATATATCAATACAATGCAAAGAAGCTACTCAACTCTACTGCATCCTCCCAGCTAAATAAGCACTCATACAATCAAATTCATCAATAAAATTATTCTCAAAGGTAACTTTCTCAAAATCAAGAATTCACTCTGAAGAATGGTTGAAAAAGTCTAATTGGTTGAAGAAGCATTACGCTTTTCTTTTGTATATATAATTCACGTGTTCTTCAAATTACTTGGTATAGTTGTGCATATATAATTCTTGAACCATGCTCTAACATCAACTTCCCATTTTGATAAGCGTATTTGATGAATGTTTGATGGTTTAGCATGTCTGATTTAAAAGGTATAGCAACAAAGATCATCACCAATGGCACTGCTGGATGTATAAGAAGCCATAAACTACTCATTGAGCAAGTCTGAGATTATAAGAACTACGCGCGGAGAAACCCCTAGTAAATTTAAAATGAATCGTACTATAAACATATTAAGAATTCAAATAGACAAAAAAAGAGCTACTTGTTCGATTGATTATGAAAGCTTAAAATTAATATAATTGGAAATGTGAAATATGATATTCAGAAAGATGATGAAGAAGAAAAGAAAAAAGATTTAACAAATTTAAAAGATAATAGTAATACATTAGCGAGTAAAATTCTTAACCGCTAGTCATCATCATCCTCACAAATTCATCATAATTGACTTGCCCATCACCATCTAAATCTGCCTCCTTTATCATTTGATCAACTTCTTCATCCGTTAGCTTCTCCCCAAGATTGATCATCACATGCCTCAACTGCAATTATGTATCAAAATTAGAAAACCATTTTATATAATAATAATCAATATTTACTACGAAATGTTTATTTTTAGCCAATTCACACGAAAACATAAGCTTATAACCTAGATGTGTGATACATATATAGTCTCCGTTGATAAAAAAAAAATAAAAATTAAGATTAGTTAACTCTCATTAAATCGAAGTAAATGTAATGGATGAATAACATCGTTGTTCTGTACTTATATTCAACATGCTTATTACGTTGGACCACAAAATATATGAAA